TCCTAACACTTTGCCATCAAGCCTTGCGACTATATTTCCCAATTTATATCGTAAGCACTAAACTCGAGCAAGAGGGAAAATTCGGTGTTTTTTTTTTCGGGGGGGGGAAGAGGTTCGCATTTGATTATTTATCACGCTCTTTGTTGAAATATGATTTCCATACATGAATTCGGAAACATTTATTTTTTTAAATCATTTAACAAAATTAACACTATAATTAAGTTTAATAACATAATTAAACAGATAAAATAAAATAAAATAAGCGTTCGTATAAATGATGAACGGGAAATACAGATTCATGACTTGAGCGTCGTAAAAAAGTATTATACGGAGTCTCCAAAACAGCTCACACAGGAACTTTACTCAAGACATCTTAAAGCGTTAAATGCAATGAACTCTTTTTTGGAAGCCAACTTTCTAAGATGGCCTCCTGTGAAACTGGCTATTCTTTAAACTTTAAAAAGAAAACTATTTTATATTAGCAGCACCTCTGCCACGCCCATACTTATGTGTGAATCTGTTGTTAATCAGCGTCCTTAGGGGCCCTCATGGAAGCAATTAGTATCTCCAGATAGTGGAAAACGTGGAATAAATATTAGCTGTAAAGGTGACTAATATTTTGCAGACGTAAATAAACATCGCTGATGAACATGACCTTTCTAAGATAACCAATTTCACAGAACACAAAAATGATCTAAAACCATAGGTTCTCTTAGAGAAGATTTACTATAAATGACATTATATTTCCTTTAATTCGAAAACGAGGCTGTGTTTATATCAGGGATGGCTATGATAAAAGTAATTTTAAACTTTTGCTCTATATGCACAATATATAACACGAAAGACGATGAAATTTAAAAGAATCCTTAACAAGCTATATACACGCGTTCTTTTATATTCTAAACAAAGACATACAAGGTGTTGAATCAGCATGATTAACCACAAGACTGATAAGGCTTTCTTGCTCATTTTATGTCTCTAAATATTTATTACGCTTTGAAATCTTAATAGACTTTTCAATTCTATCTCAACGAGGAAAATTAATTTCGTTTTTTACTTCTGTGCATTTCCTTACGCTTTAAAGACATGAATAGTCGTTAGAGACTACTGACTTTTGTAAAATGGTTTTTGTAGCAAAAACATTTCTAATAAATACTCGCGAGTAAAAGGAAAAAAGCAGTTCTCTCTAATTACAAACTGTGGAATAAAGATCTTTACCCTCCCATACCTCATTAAAGACAAGAGAAAGGGAGAAACTTGGGTTATTTTTATTCTATTGTTGTAATTGCGCCTGGAGAAAGAATTTAAATTATTTGTTGTAGCTTAGATTAGAGGAGTGCGGGTGTACATGATATTTCGTTTGGACGCGTTTCGCATCATTCTCGTTTAGACTGGAAGGAAAGAATGCGATGCAATCACATCTCTTGTTGAAATAGCGAAAGAAGGCAATGGACTGTTACTGCTTAATGAACACTGATTTGGTAAGATTTGAGTAAATGATATATATATTCGAAATCGGAAACTTCGAACAGTATTTCTCTGGGGTGTTTATTCTTCAGAATCTTTCTTTAGATAATGAAATTGGAAGAAGGAAATGAAATGAGATTAAGTTACCAGTGCTTTAGGAGAAAATATGTAATGCCCATTTTACAAGAGAGTTATATACATTCCTTACTTCAGAAAATTTAATTAATTTTTGCATTTAATTTTATCGAGGGCTAAAGGAAACTGAAAAATTCAACTGAATTTATTTAAGGTGCTGAGAAGTAAAGGAATTACGTTTTAGTGTATTAATTTATTAGTATTTGTACATTTATTTATTTGTTATGAGATATTTCTTAATTTTTTTTTTTGGTTTGCATAAAGTTGTTCGGCATCGGCTGTAGCTATAATTTTGTTGTAGTTGTGTTGCATTCTTCCCTGTCCCATACCTTCACAGGTCCTGTCGTCCCTTGAGAAACGTTCTTAGCGATGTGAATGTAAATAATGGTGGTTCAGCTTCAGTCATGCCAGTGCTTAACGAAGAAATATCCGGCAATTTTGAGAGGGAGGTACAGTAGCTTTGAATTAACAAGTTCAGGAAGTATGCATAATTAATATTTTCAAGCAGCCGGTTGCAAATTTGATAAGGAATGTTCTTTTTCCCAAGATAGAATCATTAATGAAGAAAAAAGAAAATTTTACTTTTCAGCTGCTTTCTAACAATTTTCAAAATTAATCAATCTCACCAATAAGACGCAAGAGTAATAACACAAGTCATTAAATTGATTCCGGAATGTATTCAAAAATTTCGCATGCAAAGTTGTGCACGTTTTTTATCAAACCTAATGACAATGTTATTGTCTGTAATTTTCATTCTATGATGATTATCATAAAATTTGTGTTTTTCAGGTGTTTTCAAATTATTGACTTAAAAGATTTTCTTTCGTCAATAATTTTGAAATTTTCCCATTAAATTTGTTTATTTCATTTAAACGAAATCTGCAACTGGGAATACTGGAAAATTATTCCGTTCTGAGTATATCTAAGGTACTGAGAATATATCTGAGGGGTAAAATGATTAAACTAAGCTTCATTTAAAATTTACACATTTTTAATCCATTAATGCATTGTAAATGAAGTAAAGCATGCTGTAAATCATTAAAAGGGAATAATAATAATGATAACAATAATTATGTTGTCCTCAAACTTATATAAGAAAAGTACATAAAAGTAAATGATTATTCATCTCTCGTATTTCTGTAACTCAAAATTTCGATAAGTTTATCATATTTAAATATAGATTCATTTTCTTTATATATCTTTTATAATAATAAAAGTCAAGTATTATTCGAAACCATAGATCATATCATACCGGTCTATACTTACGATTTTATTTAGTAAGTTTCGTATGTCATTTATTCTTGCTCTTGGGATTATTTAATTTATTTCAAAAATTAACTACGTTTTTATTTTGACAAAATTGATCTGTTGACATTGAGTTGGGACAAGAAACGTAGAGAAGGGCAAGAGATTTCAACCGTTATTTCAGACATTCTTGCCAGATTATGGACTAAAAATGAATATATCTAGGACTTCTGCCGCGTTGTTAATGGTGGACATTAGAATGGGCCGAAAAAATAATTTTTTATTTTTCTATTTCTATGCCTCGGAAAAGTTGCCTCTTGCTTAGCTATGCAAAATGGAAAAGAAGGTTTTCACGTAAAAACATATCTTCTGTGACAGGCGCAGTCTTGCACTCCTTTCCACGATAAATTTTGTAGGCTTGTTGTGATGTTAGTGTCAGGCAAGCCACAATTACATGCTAAGTCCCAATTAAAACACATGTCTTCTGTTCTTACATCGCGTTCAAAATGTTAAAAAACAGCGAAATTTTGCTATTTTCGCTGTTTTGTGTAATTACTAAATTTATTGCTATCTATAAGCTATAGCTTATAGTCCTAATATGAATTTGGGGGCATGAGGAACACGGAAAACGTTTAAAAGCTATAATTTCAAATTATATTTATGTATTGTTTGCGCAAAATACACATTATTTTTATGAAAATAGTAGCATTTTGTATTTTGTGATAATTTGACTTTTTAGTAGGCAAACGTCAAATATTCAAAAAATGCACCTTGAAGTTTTTTTTTTTTGGGGGCGGAGGAACTTCTGTCATAATACATCGTGTTAGTTGTCCTAATTAAGCCATCGCCTGTTGTCAGCGTCTTTCACCGTTTTATATGCTTCGGCTATTAGTTTGAAACTGCGATCTACAGTTTAGGTGTGAAAAGAGAAGTTTTTGCAGTCTGGTTTCAACGATGCGCCAGCCTTTAGTAAATTTTTGATATCCTTAACCGGAATGTTCCTTAACAATGGAGGAGGGTAGATATTGCAACTATCCCACTGAATCATGTTGACGTAGTCTGTTGTTCCAAAGTTTGAGTTTTGGCGAGGTGAAGTTTCGAACAGACTTTCCCTCGGAAAGTGATTGAGCGTTCAAAAATCGGCGCCGCTAGTCTTCTGCAAGGATCAACTTTTCGAGATGGACAATGAAGGCATTCCACTAAATTACTGAGCTGATGATTTGCCGTATATTTTAAGTTAGGTATCGTGATATTCTGATTACTTCAAAAACTATCTTTGGTCTGTTTGTGAAATTTTTGCAGCTTTTTTTTTTAATTTTGAACCAGAGAGGCATATAATAATTCATAACAAAACGTAAAAACTGCCTAATTTCGTCAGTGGGTTTTCTAAACTCACATTGCTGCTATCCAACATCTTCAGAATGAAAGCAGACCAGCATCTTAGGCTGTTAAACCCTCTAAAATTGTACTTGACTTTATGGTAGCAGAGATATCAAATAAGTATAATTAATCTTTGCTCAGAACTTTTATGTCAGCTTAAGGAAAGGGCATTCGACACATTCAAAGCGAACTAATGGAAAGTTTTCACAGCCAGCGGGGTTTTCCTGATTAGCCCACTGAAGGATTTGGACTAAGTTATGAAATAAGTGATGGAATTGCAGAGGAGATATGTAGCCCATTGCTGTGGTCTCCAAACATGCAGTTCTATCAGGTGGGCAACATAATTTTTAATAGCAGTATTCATCTCAGTTCCATCGCTTCTTATCACATAAAGTTCTTCACGTGCAGTCAAACTGGAAATTATGGTAGAAAATAATCTTTAAGATGCTCTGTATAGGAAGAAGCATGGCCGATAATATATTCTGATCCTCGTTGTTGTATAAGAGAATAATGGTCTTCTTTCTCAGTTCTTCGGAGAAGCTTTGAATTATTATTTTTGTTACCTCTTCTTCCATTCCTATTTTCTTCCAAGTACTCAGACCACTTGCAGACCAGACTACAGACCAGTGTCTCCTTAATAGTTTGATTCTGCAAATCATTTCTATTACGAGATTTTCCTCTTCTTATTTTATTTCTGTGCTGCCCAAACGTTACAGTGGTTATGGGAGCCTACTGCGATACCGGAGGTCCCAAGTTGGAATCCCAGAGAAGACATGGCTGCAATTGTTCGTCCCTTCATAGGAAGTAACATGTGTCCACCTATTATTCCACAATAAAGTGGCCACCATTTCCTGCCTTAATAGTGGCCTAGCTTAAGTGATAGAAAATGGGGGAAAAAAAGATGTTTTGTTTTCGTCGACGACATGAGCATTGTCTGAATTATCACACCATAAACTGACGGACAGATGATACGACTCCAGCATTTGCTTGATCAGAGACTCCAAATCGATGTTTGATAGTTATAGCAATGGTCATACGCTTTGTAGCAAAAATTACGAAATGTTGCTACTTTTATAAATATCTTTTTATCTTTTTGCCTGAACAATAAATAGTAAAAATTACAAGTTTTAATCATTTATTTTATTTTGTGTGTATGTGTATTTCCCATGTTTCAAACTTCACGTTAGGATCTATAGCGTTAAGACACTAGTGAGTTTAGAAGCTATAAAAATTGGCTTTTTTTTTTTTTTTTTTTTTTAATTTTTCGCGGAACGATGCGAAAACGGAAGGTATAATTTAATTTAAAAATGTGTTCTCATTTTATTTAGCTACATCATAGGCAACTTTCCCGGAGTATACGATAGCACATATTGAAATTTATTAACTTTTCTACTGAGCGTGTTCAATAACAGAATTGAATAAAAGAACAGTAAATTTATTTCGCATAATACATACTCCAGACAGACTTAATGAAATTCTGTCATTCTTTCTGGAAGACCCTGGGCATTAGTTTATTGTGTTATTATGCCTGTTAATTAATGTGCGTGAAATGTTTAGAGTCTTCTGTTCTTTTTACAGCTCCGCCGAGTCATCCAGAAATCGATAAAGATGGCAAGATATCTCCGAACGGTTCCATCGTGGGTCCTTTTTATCAAGGAAACAACATCTCCCTTACTTGTGGAACGTCTGATGGCAAACCGACCCCTGAAGTTTCCTGGTTTAAGGTAGAATCCGTTTTCTTCTAATTTCATATTTCAATTAAGTACTAAAAACGTAGATAAGAGGTAACTGAATGGCTCTTATTTTCTGCAAAATCAGTCGAGCTAATGTTAAGTAATTGCTCCTAAGATTTGTTCCTTAGATTTTAGTAACAGTGTTTTTGGGAGTAGGTCAGAAGTTATGGATCGTTGCCTAAAGTGAATTTGAAAGCAGTTCTTTGTACAAGGACACATATACGACACGCTATTAAAAATTATTAGAATATACTGAAATGGGGTTTAAAAAAGGTTCCGTAATTAAATTTCTCTTAAATTAATCAAATAAGACAGACATTCAATTTATTTTGGTAGTTAGTCTAGTAGCGGTAGTAAAGGTAAATTTATGCTAATTAGTATAGTTATTTTATGTAGTAATTTATTTTTAATGTAGTACTTTATGTTTCTGTGCATCATGTGTTTTTGACCAAGTTTTAGATTTTCAGATTTTTACCTGTTTTCTTCCCGTTTAAGTGGAAATAATAAATTTATGCAGAGCTTTGATAAAGTTACTACATTTTGATTGGTTTATAAACGTAAATATCGGTTTTAAATTATAATATATAATAATTCTGATTCAGTTAAAGTGATGTCTACTTATTACAAATTTGTATCTAACAGATCCTTTATGAAAAAATAAATAAGTTTATTCTAATGGGAAATGTCTGAAAATTGATATTGTAGTATATAAATTAAGAAATGTTCATGAAATTTCAGAATTTATCCGGCGAACATCACCCCCATTGTGCTTCATTTAAAAAAAAAAAAAAAAAAAAAAAGCCCTAAAGGGCTATTTGTCTCGAAACGCGATTTTCCGTTATTTCACTTTTCGCTCGAAACTGTTGCCTTCGGTAAAAGGGAAATATTATTCTTTTATATTTAATATGTCTGTTATTAACTAACAAGCTAAACTATTTAAAAATATAGATGCAGTTTTTTTATAACGTCGGCAATGAAAAATTACCGATGCTATATTACATTTTAATCTTGTTCATTTAAATAAAAATGAACCATTTAATTAATGGTATAGATAATTCAAAACATTAAGTATTCTTATAGAATTACACAACATTATTTTTTTATTTTAAAATATACAGACGATATATAACGTTCCCATGTCATGGATCTAATATCCTTTAAAATATTTCGCTGTTCAATCGGGGACATCTCTACTGATAATCCTCCGGACAATCATTAAAATCTAATCCTGTCAGATTTTATTTATTAAGTTTTTGGTGCGATACAGAAAAAAATATTGTCCTAACGATAATTTTGGTTACCTGAGATTTTTAATAAATTATTATTTAATAAGAATTATTAAATTTATTAAAATTATTAAAGTATTTATTAAGAGTTATTTTTACAAGTAATGGTGCGAGAAGAAATTTCATGTTATGAAGTCGATTGGAAAAATATCCGTCCTACAACGGGCTAAGTTTTACTTTTATTTATAATTTTTTTATATTTTTTTAGGGGTTTCAGGGAAGACTGACATAAACTGCAGTCATAGTTAGTTGCCCAATAAGAATGTGCAAGCACGCGAGGGCTATCTGCTTACAGATGTAGTTGCCTTAGAATAACCTGGCTCGTATTCATGTTATACACGGAGAAAACTGCACGGCAGTTTCATACAAGCAGCTTGTTCTCGAATTCCTACCACTCAACGGTTTTACCATTTGTCGCTGACAGACTTCATATATTTTTGAATATTATATTGTACAGCTTTAACCCTTCAGTTGAAGTGGTTGCTCAGTTATCTTTATTATAGGAAATACTTTCCTATCGCCCCGAGGCAACTAAACAGTTAAACACAAAAAATGGAAATCAAAACTTCTACCTTAAATATTTGTCCTCTATAAAAATATTTCACAGTCAAATATTTTCGCATAATTATGTCACGTGATACAAAGTCTCCAAAAGTTTTAATTGGTAATATGAAAGGTAATTTTGATCGTATGAGAAATTAATTATTTACTTATTCTAAACTAACATGCAAACATTTTCTTGTTGAAATTTTCTTCCTATTTATGTCCGTGTTCAAACTTAAACATTGCAATTAGTTTTATTTAATGATTTATAATGATCAGCACTGTTCGGTACAGTGGATAGTGATGATGGGAAAAGGGGAGGATGTATATATTATATAAGGCATGAAGGTACTGTAAAATAAGAAGAAACTTCTGGCGAATCTAATGTCCTCTCGAGAGGTTTAGAGCGGAAGAGAGTGTAAACTCTAGGCAACGTTCTCCTGTGACGCAAAGGCTTAATAATCAAGTGGTAGTGCCCATGTCTGACAGCTGTATTAAGAATCCTGCCATTTAGAATAAAAACAAGGATCAGAATTCATATAGTTCGCAAAATATGCTTTATTTGATCCACGTTTTAAGCCAAATATTAAGTCTTAGAAACAGCTATTTAAAATATACAATGTTCACCCTTGTCAAATACTTTGTTCAAATCAGTTGATATTAGCAGTGTTATCAGTTGTTATAAGATACTCCCAATTATGATATCACAGCTGCAGAAAGTAATTTCAAAATTGTTGCAGAAAATCAGTGTTTCGTTCGAAATTCTATTTAGTATGCCGACTCAACACACTTTATTAGAAAGTACACACAGCTGGATAAAGTTAATGCTAATGCAAGGTTTCCTTCGCTGTTAGATTAAGCCTTAATGTAATTGCACCTCTGTCAGTTTCATTTTAAGACATGAAAAACGTTTAAAAACTTTTTGATTGAACTCCCCACCTCAAATGATGATTATTGTTTATGTACAATCGCCCGTTGGAAGAGAAGCCATATTCTTACCCATCTGCACAGACAATTTTTTAAGGCTACCAGAGAAAATACATTGACATAAACAATTCCTTAGACGTCTCCAATACTCATGCCATGCATGCTTGTAAGGCAGGTTTTGTGTCTCAGGGACCTCATATCAATATATTCTCTTCTCCGATGAGTCCGGATTCAATTTAAAGCCAGATAATCGATAATTTCCGATCCGGGGAGAATTTAAATTTTCGTACAGTTCAGTGTATGTCAAAGAAATATTATATTTTTCTGAAGACAAAATGCTCGGTTGGGCAGGATGCATTAGTTAGGCATATGTTTGGTACGTAATTCGGAATGGATTGCTGAGTACTCAGTTGTACAGAACTGAAATTCTTAGATCCTTTGTGCCTTTTCTGCCATTGGAATCTGCTTTTTTTATACATAAATGCCTCATCTTCTCCAAGACGTTTTTTGACCTCAATCACAATATAGCGTATGGAGTAACCGGAATATTTCCAAATTTAAGTCGCATTGAATATGCTTTTGCCTATTATGCAAAAGTGGGGTTGACCCCAATCTTAGTTGACGCATTTTCAGTTAACTCTTCTTGATGAGTGAAGGAAGAATTTCTCAAAACCTTGTCGAACATCTTATTGATTCAGTGTAGAGTCATCTTACACGTTCGAGGTGGCCACATGCATTTTTAGACAGTCGAAAACGTTCCCCGCCTATACTTATCTTTAGGTTTCCTAAAGTTACGGGTAGCAATCGGTTTTATGACAGGAAGTGAGATTCATGTGATTTTTTTTTAAATATTAAAACACTCGTAGATTTGGAGTGAATAACGACGACACTTTGATGAAGTATCGAAACACACTTTATTTAGCCGATATTAATCAGGACAGCTCCAAAGCCACGTTTTACAGTCGTCAAAGATCTACTGTACACTCGCTGGAACAATCAGCGACGCAGCCTTCAGGTTATCAGGCGATAACGATGGAGACAGCTTTACTCCAAAGCACCAGAGTACAGTTCCCGGCTCTGCTGGGTCGTTCTTGGAACTCTACGTACTCTCGAGACTCTCCACGCTACAACTCGCGATGCACTCGACGACACGCAGAGCACAGCTCTCGACTCTTCGATTCAGTCATTCCCGGAGCTCAACGCGCTCTCTCGACGATGCACTAACCGCGATACATTACGAAACTCTTTCGATGCATTCGACGGCCCACTCAGCACTCGCTGCTCGGCTGTAAACTCGATCGACTCCGCAAGGACTGACTAACTATCCCGCACTTTGACTCTCTGAGTACTAGCAGGGTTTATATAGTTTTTGGCTTGTGTTTGAGAACATTCTGGGCTGATCCGGTAAGAATTCGTTCCAGAAGGTTCTCTATCCGTCCATGACATATCGCCAATTTTGTCGCTAAATGTGGCAAACCTGCCTTCCCTTGCCATTTTATGGCAACCCTAAACCCGCTTTTCGGGGAGGCTATCTTACCGTGCCTGTACCTTTCGTAACAATATGATCACAATTTACAGGATATCTAGGTAGGAAAATTTTCAGAAAATCAATAGAAATGTTTTCATACATATTTCTTTCTACAATTTTACTATAGCAGTATTTATTTAACTTGGATTGTTGAAAGAAATATTTTCTGTTTTCAAATCACCTCCATACCAGAGCTACATACTTTGCTGCTTCATATTTTAGACATGATAAGACAGTAGTGTCTATTTCGTTCCTCAGCTTAGTTATTAACTAGAAAAATGTTCTTATTTTATTTTTATATATTTAATCGCTACGAGCGATTCGAAATTGGTACACTGTTGAAAAACAGTGCATTAAGAGTATGAAATAGCTTCTTATTTCCTGGAAAGAACTCTCTGTCTGCTAACAATTTTTAGCGCATATCGAAAAATGGAACCATTGCTGTTCGAGCCCTGCTTCGACATTCTTATCTGCCTTGATACATTAAGCTACTCGAAGCCCTTTTGCTTGAATTTCAGCATCACAAATCATTACGATAATATGCCGATCGCTACAAGTTTCGAAGTTTCCCAAGGAAAACTAAAACAAATCAAGTCGTTATCGGCTTCAGTCTATAGAATTTATTTAACGTATTTTTTCATTTCTGAAGACTCATTTTTTATCTAAGTGGCTTCTTTTCTGCTTTCTCGTCTTTAAAATCGCAATAA